GCCACTCATTAAGTGCATTACTTGCACAAGATGATGATAACGGTCATGAGCAGGCGGTATATTATTTAAGCCGAACCATGGTAGGCGCTGAATCTCGATATCCTATGATTGAGAGAGAATGCCTCGCCTTGGTGTTCGCTATTCAGAAGATGCGGCATTATCTGGTCGGGCAGACTATTTATGTCATCTCTAAAGTTAATCCGGTCCGAGTATTCATGACTCAACCAGCTTTCATGAACTGGCGCTTAGCAAAATGGGCCTTACTCTTGTCCCAATACGACTTACATTTTAAACAACAGAAGTCAGTAAAAGGACAGGCCATCTATGATCTCCTGGCAGCTAATCCAACTACGGACACCGCCGAGATATATGACGACCTACCTGATGAAACCCACGAAGTCAACACAACTTCGCACCAGCAAGTATGGCGTTTGTACTTCGACGGCGCTTCGTGAGCAACTAATGTAGCAAGTGCTCCTGGAAGTTCTAAGATTTCTTCCAGAGTTGGAGTTGTCTTAGTTTCCCCAGGAAGGCACGTGATGCCTCGAGCTTACTCGTTGACCGAACCGTGCTCAAATAATGTAGCCGAATATAATGCATTACTCATAGGACTCAGTTTCGCCAAAGAACTAGGGGTTGAGTACCTCGAAGCCTTCGGCGATTCTCAACTGATAGTTAAACGAGTTCAGGGAGAGTACGAGGTCCGAAGCCAAGATTTAATACCATACCATAAGATGGCAGTGGAGATGGACAGTGAGGACTCACCAACTCCTAGTGCCGATCTACAATGAAGAGGACGAAGAAGAAGAGATTAAGGAAACACACTCAACTCAAATTGAGTTTGAACCCCGAGATTGGCATTTCCCCATCATCGATTACGTCTTGCATGGAATCCTACCAGAGGATATGAAGGAAAGAGAGTCAATCTGACGAAGGGCACCAAGATTCTACTATAATACGGAGAATCGGACGCTATACCGCAGGGGGTACGATGGATTGCTGGCACGTTGCTTATCGACTAAAGAAGCTGAGGAAGTCCTTAGGGAAGCACATGAAGGAGAGTGTGGTGCACACCAACCTGGTCCCAAACTTTATGACCGCATCAGAAGAATGGGATATTTTTGGCCTTTCATGATGAGTGATGCAATCGCGTATGCCCGAAAGTGTGACGCATGTCAAATACATGCGAATTATATGCACCAACCTCCAGAGCATATGCATCCTTCGGTTACGTCATGGCCGTTTGAGACCTGGGGAATGGACATTGTTGGTCCTATAAATCCCCCGTCAGTCAAAGGTGACCGGTTCATCCTAGCAATTACCGACTACTTCTCCAAATGGGCTGAGGCAGTTCCGCTCAGAGAAGTTAAAACGAGCAATGTCATTGCATTCATCAAGCACCATATCATCTACCGGCATGGTGTCCCAAGACGAATTGTACATGACAATGGCCCTCAATTTGTCAGCAACGCCTTCATCAGGTTTTGCGAGAAGTTTAAAATTCAGGACATCTCTTCGACAGCTTACAATCCCACAGCGAATGGACTGGCCGAAGCCTTCAATAAGACTATCATAAAGATTTTATCAAAACTCGTGAAAACCAATAAACGAGACTGGGATGACAAGCTTGGCGCGGCTCTATGGGCCTATCGGACCACGGTGCGTACACCAACGGGAGCAACCCCGTATTCACTGGTATACGGATGTGAAGCTGTTCTTCCATTGGAGATTCAAATCCCGTCGCTTCGAATTGCTCTCGCGACTCAAATGACGACCGAAGAGCAACATCAGAAGCACCTTGAAGAACTTGAAAGGTTAGATGAGAAGCGTTTAGAAGCTCAACAACATATCGAGTTCTACCAAGCCAGAATCTCTCGAGCTTTCGACAAAAAAGGTTCGACAACGAAGCTTCAAAGAAGGGGATTTGGTTCTAGCTGAGAGGCGGCCTATGATCCTTAATTCCAAGAAGAAGGGCAAATTTGAACCCAAATGGGAGGGACCATTCGTAGTAGAGACAGTCTACTCGAGTGGCGCATATCGTCTTGTCACCAAGGACGGTGACCGGCTTATGATGCCGATAAACGGCAAGTTCCTAAAAAAATACTATCCTTAGTATCTTCAAGATAACCAATGTATCAGGAAGTTCCCGGAAGAATACCACATGGGATATTCTTAGGGATAACCCAGTCATTGTAGAAGTGATGAATAAGAAATCTACGTTCGAACTCTGAATGTCGGAATGTTTCTTCTTATTGTCAAATTCTCTAACTCTCATGAGTTATTTTTGTGAGTCGAGATTCAATCCTTGGATAGGTTAATCTTTCCTCACCAAACCATCCGCTGATCAAATTAATCGACGGTGGATTCACCAATATTTCTATCCGCCAGTCATTGGCAATTCTCAGACTCAATATGTTAGGTCCTAATCACCTAGCATTAAAGTCCTCCTTTGAGTGATAATACAAGTTGGCATTTTCATTGCTGCCTGTATTCTACTCTCTCTGCTTTCAGGTCAAACCTATAAAAGTTAGGGCCAAAGCCAAATTCCTCTCTCGATTCTTTCCATGAACGAGGGGTCCACTTTCAATTCGAACAGTCAAATCTATAAAAGTTAGGATTGTTCCCGATCTCACTTAGTCAAACCTACAAATAGTTAGGACTAAGACCGAGTCGTTCCTTTTTGATAAACGAAGATCCACCTTTGTTCCTTTTTCCACCAAACCTATAAAAGTTAGGGTCGAATTTGGGCGTTCTCCTCAATGAATGAGGGATTCTTTTGATTCAAATGACCAATCCTATAAAAGTTAGGGTCGTTTGAACCTTTCCGATTCTCGGAGTGGAGATCCCACTCTTAGTTTCATCTTTTCAGATTCTGGAGGTGGAGATTCCACCTTGAGTTTCCTTTCCAACTGTAGATAGAATATAAAATTCTTCCTCTTTAGTACCGGGAGATAGAATATAAAATTCTTCCTCTCCCATTTTCCAGTCTGTCTTTGTTCTTAGAAAAGACACAATTTTTAACTTCCAATCCGCGCACTTGGTGTACGGGGAATTTTATCTCAACTCCTAAATAGAGATAAGTCTACGCCTAATACGCGTTGCCGGTTTAGTCTTTCACCGATTGAAAAAGACACCAGGGTCTAAACCTGGGGAATTTTATCCCGAAGCCTAAGTAGGGATGAGTCAACACCTAACACGTGTTGCCGGGTAGCCTATTCCCGTAACAAAGGCGAAGCCTATGTATTCAAAATCATAGCACAAAGTCTCAGAGAATTCGCTCTCTCAGCACAACGTTACATGCGGAACGGATTTAGACAATCCGCATGCTAGCCCGATTCAAACGGTGATCGGTAAAGGCACATCAAAATGGCTGGGGGTTTGCCAAAAATCCCAAAGTCTATGTCTAACACACATTGCCGGTTTAATCTTTCGCCGATTGAAAAAGACACCAGGGTCTAAACCTGGGGAATTTTATCCCGAAACCTAAGAAGGGATAAGTCGTCGTCTAATACGCGGCGCGGGGTACCTTTTCTCTATAAGAAATGGTTAAGCCTATGTATTCAAAATCATAGCATCAAGTCTAAGAAAAGCGATTTTCTTAGCACAACGTTACATGTGAGACGGGTTTTAATAATTCACATGCTAGTCCAATTCAAACGGTAATCGGTAAAGACATATCAAACCCGTTGATGGCTGGGGGTTTGCCAAAAATCCTGTGAATCTTATCATCGCTGAATTTAAAGTAAATAAAGAAAAGTCATAAAGGAATCAAATGCGGAGTCTCTATTAATAAATCAAGTCATACAATAAAAAGCTCGTATGCCCGAAGGCAGCTGACGGCTAAGAAAATGAGACTCTAAACTAGAAAGCCTATCTATATAACTCTGCTCAAGTTCTGCTTGCAGGCCAGCTCGGACGGATTCCTCAGAACTGCTCAAGATCTTCACGGCTTCATTCTTCAGCTTCATCTTGGGAAAGATTCGAATAAAGTGTCAGATTGGAGACTTGAAGTCAGAAGTTACCTGCTACGTAATTGACGTGGAAACATCCTATAATTTACTGTTGGGTCGACCTTGGATCCACGGTAACCTTATAGTCCCGTCAACTCTGCACCAATGCCTCAAGTATGTGGACACAAACAATGAAGTCAAGACGGTGGTCGCGGATAAGCAACCGTTTAAGGGATTAGAGAACTATTTCACTGATTCCCTTTTATACGGCGCTCTATTGTGACTGAAGCTCGCTACCGATGGAAGATCTCAGGTCGCGCCACTGTGCCAGCCTATGCTCCATCTGAGAGGACACGAAGGAAGAAACCCCATTAGCCTTCAGCTCCTTCAACTCTCGGATCTCCGACTCCAGAACAGCAAAATCGGTGGTGAAGGAATCGGCCAACTCTGGATACCCTTCTTCTCTGAACATCGGCATGTGACGAGAAAAGGAGCGCCTGAACTGATCGAAACCATATCCTCGATGAAGAAGTTTCTCGATCATGCCGTTATAAAAGACGGTAAAAAGGCCGAGGTCTGTACGAAAAATGTCTTTGTCGGGATCGGTATCAGCCAAGAGGGCGCCGGACACGCTCATATAGAGATGATCGAGATCCTACAAGAAGCATTGCGGAAAACTAAGAGATTATCGAAAACGATAAGAAAATTTAAAGGAAAATTCCGAACATACCAATGCCAACGGAGGTCCCCTCAGGCAGAGATCCGACATGTTCCGAAATAACTGCAGGAGTAGTCATGGAGGGTATATCAACCCCTGTAGGCAAATCAGTCATACCTCTCGGCTGTGGCGGAGAGACACCACTCTCAGGCAAACTATCAGTCCCAGAAACTGTAGTGGCATCAGGCACGACGGCTGGTCCTAGAGTTACATGTCTTTATTAGTCAAAATGAAAATTTGGACAAATAAGGAAAATCGGGATGATAAGATCGTATGCATACCTGCAAGTCCATAGTCCTCAGATGCAAGAGGAATGCCAGGAGTCATAAGAGTATCAGTCCCGATGGCTGGTCCTATGATTACACCCATCTATTAGTCAAAAGTCAGACAAATAGAAAGAAGCACGATATCCCTAGATCGTATGCGTACCTGCAAGTCCGTCACTCCGAGGTAAGCTAGATATGCCGGGAATCGATATTGGGTTAGTCCCAATGACTGGCGCTATAATATTAATCCTTCGTTAGTCAGACAAAAGATCAGGCAAAATGAAGGGAATCAGATATATACCTGTGAATGAATCACTCTCAAAGGTTGGTCCCACAGTTCCTCTGGTGGCTTGTTCAGCTTAACATGTCGGCAAATAATCCAATGTCAGGTCCCGGGAAACTTGGTGCGGAGGCATACCCCTGTTCCTCGAAACCTACATAAGGAAAGGCCTCATCCTCAACTGGCTTGTCTATCACGACATCTGCAGAATAATTTAAGTGTTGGATATATATACAAGAAGATGGGAAAGAAGGAAAAGCTCAGAAATACCTGCAGCAGGAACAGAAGATCCTTGTTCCCCAATATCCATGCTTGAGTTCTTCAAGAAATCTGAAAGAATGCGAGGCACAAAAAAAAAATAATGAATCCTGATTTCTCTAACTCCGTCAAATGCTACTCGATGAGGGTATCATCGAATTTAGATATACCTGGACATAGAGTGGTGGGCTTGACACTATTAGCCTGCGCGGTGTCAAGGTTCGTATCAATACCCAGGGAACCATCCCGAATGGCGTCGCACATTTGCTGCATGAAGTTATCCATATTATCAGGGGATACAGGGTCCGGTGGAAGCTCGCCCTCGTTATAGTACCCTGGAACATAAAACATGATTACGAATCCCAGAAGGTGAGACATCTTAAAGCCATGAAAACGACAAAATGTTACCTTCCTCTTCATCGGTGATGTCTCCTAAATCCACTCTATAGGGACGCTGGCCGACGTGTGGTTTATGAGCAGTCTTCTTCTTCTTCGGAGTACCAGCCCTCATAAAACCAACGGGTCGCTCATGCGTGGACTTGCCACTCGTCTCAACATGCGTGGGAGCTTGGTCGCTAGGCCCGAATCTCGCACGACGAGAAGCAAGCGACTCATGATCGTGGACTGTCCTACCTGAAGTGATAAGGGTCATTTCATTAAGTGAACAAGATCTTTCGTTGATACCAATTGAAATTGAGAAAGAAGATCAAAGAGCATGACAAACCTGCATCAGGTTCTTCTCTGTCAGTATCTGTATCCACATACTCCTCCGCACAAGTCTCGTCATCATCATCAGTAGGAAGGAGCTCTTCATCATCTTTGTTTGAGAAAGAAGGTTTGGCATGCCTCTTCCTCTGTTTCCGAGCAAGCTCGGCTTTACGAGCAGCCATCATAGCGATCTGGACCGAGCGCTCAGACTGTAACTCTGAAAGACTCCTCACAACTATGGATTCATTGGCGGAAAGGAACCACTTGCAACTGAGGAAAGTAATCAACGGTTGGCGTCTATATGAAGGAAGACCAAAGTGGGCTCCGGTGCAGCCCACCATAGTCCATAACCATGCTCGTACGCCGTCAATAAGCCCTCCCTCAACCTTCAAACCACGGCTCGGATTCCCAACATATAGTTGGTCATAGCCGAACTGACGAGCAAAACGACAGGGAAGGTAAGGCTCTATGTGGCAACGATTCTTCACCCGGAGAACGAGATACCCAACACGGATGTTCACTAACCAGCGGAAACAACCAACGTCGAGAACAGTCCAATCACTTCTAGGTTTCTCCTCATCAATCAGCACATCACCATAGCGACCCGAAAAGTGAGGAAAACACTTGAAGAACTCCCAGCTCTTACGAACTTGAAGCTCTCGTTGTACATCATTAAATTTCTTCCCGAGCCATCTGCTCCTCTCCAACAGCTTCATGAAAGGAACGGGGACATCAACAACGCTGGGCGCCGACATCAAGTCAGGACGGTGAAGAACAAGCCACGCATCAGATACGCATAAGGAAGCTCGACCTTCGGACAAATAAGCTCGGTCGATGGTTCAGAACCCGCCTGTGTAAAACTGCTGACTAGACACCTAAGCCCGCAATGGATGCCAGCAACCATCGCTGGGAGCAGAGAAAGCTCCCTCCCATAAGCTAGCTGAACTGCGGGGAAGAGCACCTCGAGAGGTAAGGCGTCTGAGAACTGGTACGGAACAACGCACTTCTTTAACCTGAGGGCAAGATAGCCTGCTAGCAGAGCCCGGGGCTCAATGGACTTCTGTGCACGGCGGAGGAACGAACGAAACTTGGTTCCTGTAGGAAAAGCTCCCTCAGCACTGGCAATGGTATAAGAACGAGCCTCAGCCTTCTCCATCAACTCATTAACGATGGTAGGGGTCAAGACGTCTAACTCACGAAGGGGCTCGCTAGAATCACCCTCCAAATTCGGGAACAAATAGACAGCAAACTGCTTCAAGCTGATCTGCTTTTTCCTCTTCGCTGGAGGAGAAATCTGGATCAAGGAGGTATGATAATGGCAGGTGAGGTCCCAAAGAGTATCGTACATATCGGGAGTATCCTTCTTCAACCACTCCAACTGCTGGTTCGAGGGAAAGTACTCATGGTATGGACAATCCCCCATCGGAAGACCAGAAACCTGAAGCATCTCGTGTAAGGCCAACCCTAACTCTCCGCCGCTGGTCAGGAACGTGTTACTGTCGGGCATGTATGTCTCCAACAACGCCAAGAAATGGCGGCAGCTGACCGGGAGTCCATACATGGTGGCTCGTATAGGTGCATACAATCCACTGCTCCTCAAATCCTTCTCCCAGCGCCCCAAGACGTAACTGGTCATGCGTGTCCACCACCCCTTGGGCAGTGAGAAAGCCCAACCATAGCATCTATAATCTGGTGGAGGTAATCTCCTCCTAAGATGAGCCAGACGGTTCTTCACGGTAGGGGCGGCTGCTGATACCTCGCCTGGGGGTGCAGTATTAAGACCCGTAATCCCCTGTCGAAGACCGCGGATGTAATGATACCCAGCAGAACCAGGAGTCTTATGATGAGAGGTATATCCACACTGAACTCGCTCAGCATCATCGGTAAGATGCCAAGACATCTGTCGCTCCACGGCCTGTCCCTCCAAATGGGTGAAAGAACATTGACGAGGAATGGAGGGAATATACAGGAGAGCTCCCTCATGAAGATTCAGCCAATGCTCCTCGGTAAGAGTCAACGTAGCAGGATCCTCAGTGTGATCCCCGAACAGAAAGCTAGGCTTCTTTAAAGCCTGAGTAGAAGTAGAATCTGCAGTGAAAGAAGCATCCGTAATCAGCTGGCGTAAGAATCTGCAGTAAAGGAAGCATCCGTAATCAGCTGGCGTAAGCAATGGCGCCCTCCATCCCGTATCAAACGACAGGATTCATCGGAGCGATCTCTGTCGAACTGAGGGAGTGGACCAATGGCCTGCCTGATGGAAGCCGAAGAAAAGACTTCCCTGCTACAACCAGTAGGGGCATGATGAGGGAGGCTGCCCGCGGGGAACTCGACTGCAACAAGACAAGGATAGAGTCAGAAAACCCATCTCGTAAAAAAAAAGCGAGGTAAGATCATTCACATGGTGATTGGAGAGACGATTTCGAGTGTCTTACACTGGAAGAACAGTATGCATCATCACGTAAATAACGTGGTAACATACACCGACCTACAAGGTGTAAGACGACACAAGATCGCCCCAATATACCAGAAGACTTGAATTGGCTAAGCAAAACAAGTCTGAAACCTCAACCCCCGCGAAGGAGGGTGTCGGCCCTTCTCGAATGACCCGCGAAGGGGCCAAACGAGGGTGTACGGAACCACCAATGTCCTGAAACCTCAACCCTCGCGAAGGAGGGTGTCGGTTCTTCCTTAATGACCCGCGAAGGGATCAATCAGGGATACAGAAATAAAGATTCTCACCCCCGAAAAAGGAAGCCGCTGGAGGAGAGGATGCTGTAGGAACTTCTTCCTCGCTAGGCTGCGAACGAGATCGACTCCTAGGAAGTCGAGATCGACGTGGAGGCATTGAAAATCTGCAAAGAAAAGTAGTAAGTCAGATATAATCTAAAATATGAATACACGAAATATAAAAGGGAAATTAAGAACTTGAACTAAAGTCCTATGAATAAATAGGATTTTATAGTTGAAGTCTAATTAAACCTACAAACTTCGTGCATGCTAAACAATGATTGTCATTTTGCGGTGAATTTTGGTGAAATACCCAAAATACCCCTCGTGTTCAAGGCTAAATTCAGGTCAAGGACACGCTTGAGTTGGGTCATGGTCATCATATTTGATCATCTAGCACCCCCAACACCCCACAATTTTGGTTAATTTTGCAAATTAACCCTTTTTGTAAAATTTAGCCAATCTTACAAAAAGATCCCCCACAAATTTTGGTTTAGTTTCCGCATGCCTTTATCAAAACTTTGGTCATAGGTTTGTGATCTAAACTTTTGGAATTTCAGTCCTAAAATTTCAGCCCTTTTGCAAATAAACCCCCTATACTTTGTGGGATTGCTCTTTTGCAAATAAACCCCTCAACAACTTTTGGTCCTCTTGCATAAAGCACCCCTCAAACTTTCGACCAAATGAGCATGTAATCTAGATCCTAATTTTAGTCCTTTATTACATGAACACCACCTCAATTCTCCGGCCAATTTTACAAATAAGCCCCCAAAAGAATTTCGGCCTATATTTGCACATAAAACCCTCAATAATTTGTGGTCTTTTTGCATGAAACACCCCTCAAAGTTGTGGCCAAGTGGGTCTAAAGTCCAAGCCTCAAAATTTCAGTCCCATTTTGCGTAAAAGCCCCTACAAATTTCAGCCCTCTTTTGCACAAAAGCCCCTACAAATTTCGACCCTATTGCAATTTTGCATAAAACCCCCAAATACTTGTGCACTCACAACCCATCATCATTAGAATAAAAAGTTATGATCTTGGCATGTGGGTTCATGTTGTATCCCCATTACAAGCATAAAGTTACAACCTTTCTTGAAAAAGAAAAGAGTTGTGAAGGGGAACTTACCAAATCAAGAAACTCTCTTGAGCTTGAAGATGAAGAACCTTAGCTTTGAGGAGAGGACAATTTCGGCCAAGGGGGAGCACCAAAAAAATCCAAATTTGTCTCTAGTTTAAGAGGGGAGTTTTAATGAGAAACAATGGTGTATGGAGGGAAGGAAGAAGAAGAAGTTTAAAAAAAGAAAGAATCTCTTTTGAAAGTTTGGAAAGAAGGGGGAAAACAAAAGGGGAAACAAGATTAAAACAAGAAG